GTTATTACTAGGGGAAGACGGGGCTAAAGTTAGGTGAGTCTCTCATCATCCGAAAGAAGAGATTTCCGTTGACGACAAGTTCGTAGCCCGCCTTTCCGCTCTAAAACTAGGGTGCAAAGAATGAATGGAAGCTGTAGGTGACATTATCGAAAAATGCGAAACAACAACCCCGAGCAAGGATGTGGCTATATTTAGGGGAAGGGGTCTCGGGACGTGCGAACCATGGGTAAGCCACCCATCAAATAGTAAACTTATGTAAATTAAGACAAAATGTAAAATTTATTGTAGGTTTGTCAAAAATCCAGCCGTCCAGGTCCTGGGAAGATATGTTATTCCACATTGCTGAGAGTATATATGGGTATATTAAGATTGCTAGAAACATTCAAAAACAAAAGAAATAGGCGTGCGCCACCATGTGGCGCACGCCGTCCGTTATGGTTGAAGCAGGAAATCATCATGACCTCTGCGCTCATCATGAATGAAAGTACTACTTAGTTTTTCCCTATGGGACGCTTTTGCAGATCTCCTCTCTTACTACGTTGGCCCCTACCAAGCATACTGCTTGTCGAAGCTAGTTCTCTCGGTGTATATCGAACAGTTGTCTCAGCATCGGTTCGCTTTATACTATTTTTGATGAAGCATTGCGTGTTTGCTGTTCAAGTGTTGACTCTTTCAGGCCACAACGCATTGCAACTATGCATCCTGGAGTGGTACCTGGAACCCTTTATCGTCACAACAATATGCTTGTGAAATTCGTGTCTTACTTCATTCTGCCCTTTTTCCTGAGGTAGGCTCGTTCGTAATTCTGTGTATCTTGCTTTGAGTGTATGGCACTTATCGTTGCAGCAATAGGTCAGAAAGCGAAAAGAAATGCTCATTCCCCAGAGCCGTATACAGCACTTCCCAGCCAATTACATGTAGTTGTGCACTCAACTTTTCCCGGCCGGTAAATGCTGCATACGGCCCAGTGATTCACAGGCATGAGCTCACATTTGGTTTGGCGATTAACATAATTTTTGTCCGGATTCACTTAATAGAAAATTTTTTCTAGTATTTCTTTTTCCTAAGTCATGGCTCAGTTATTACGAGTTATTTGGTGATCTCTTAGCTGTTGTGTAAGGGACAGAGGCGTATGAAGTTCAATTCCTTCACAGTCTGTTTTGTGCTGCCCCCATTAGTTCCTCTTGTGAACGTGTTTTACCCTCCTTCCAACCGTGTGTTCTAAACCAGCCTACTCGTTTCTTTCCCAACCTTTTTTCTACCTAAATGTTGAATGCAGCGTGACAGACCTACAGATCTTGAAGAAAGAGCAGATGCCATCATTTTCAGGAGACCCACATTCAGCGCTCTGCTAATAGTTCACACAGCCTTGCGTGATGATCTTGTTACCGGGTCATACTACGAGGATGGTGAAGCGAAAAGACTCGGAGACAGACTCACGGAGAAGGTAGGGTTCAGGTTTTACGAGCGGATTTCGCAAGGACAATCTTCTTGTGCAGTTTGTTTTTGTTCTTTTTTATATGAAATCGGATGGGTAACGGAGGCAGTGCATAAGGCCTACTGTTGACAAAACGAGCGAGGTAGCCGACTATGTCCAGTTTCATTTGTTACAGTAGTGACTCTAACCTGCAAATGTGCTCAAACTATGGTACGTAGCCGTGCGTTCAAAGACCACTGCTGCTCCACCTATTGCGAGCGGTTAAAGATACGCTAGTTTTTGAACGCACTCTTCGTATTCTTCGAGGCGTGTTGAAGGTGTTGGTCCGGTCAGCGTTCCTATTTGAGTAATTATTCAAGTTGTAATGGTTTTACGGTGCGTTCGCCCCGTTTTGGGTCTCCGTCTCGGATCCCCTTTTTAGATGTCTAGGGACAAGGTCCCTTCCTTTTAGCTCGGTTAGAGAATAGTGACTTACACTTTATTCTTCGGTAAGTAGCAGTACAGAATAAGGCGATCGATTAGCAGAATCCTCTGACGAAATACGACAGATCCAAAAGCCATTCTAAGAGATCTGACCGGTATTTATATCTGTGGCCCTGGGAAAGTGGAGCTTACAGACACAGACAGAATACAAGAGATTACGAAATCCACATAGACACAGATCAAGAGAGGGCTTTAGCCGGTAGCTTCGCGCGCGGGAAATCTGTTTTGGTAGTTGCGAAAATTTGAATTGTGGGAAACAGAGGTAATGGGCAGATATGCATCAGATAGTACAAAGAAAACGAGTAATGCTACATAACAATAGAGGTATGTTTACAACTTTACAATATGGTTACATACTATTACATATTTACATTGTGAGCCTTAGCGTTCCGAGCGCAGGCATATATCTCCAGGTTGTCTCGCACGCCGATCTGGGCGCATAACTTGTGAGACTGGACAACTCCAAAATATTAGGCCACGACCGAGGAATCAATAGTAAGATGTTTCGAAAGATACATCGGATGAGATCCAAAGATTGTCCAATTTCGCCGAAGATTATATCGCGTAGTACGCGCAGCGCATATCGAGCTCGGATGATTTAGCGGTCTATAGAATTTTCACAATTAGGGTATCGGTGTGGGAGTGAAATATGATCAATCAATCAGCATCTAGCCTAGCTCTGATGGAAATTCGCTATTGGTCAGTCCAGAGAGTTGAGTGGCTCAAGTTCCTTTGCTTTTTGGGTGAAAGGTTAGGAATTGAACATATTCACGTGCTAAGAACCTGGTTCAATTTGAATGAGCGCACACTCAGTTGTCGCCACGTTTATCAGTATAGTTGACGCTCATTACCACTCCTGTCACCCACCATCAACACCTCGCTCCCTTGATCGTTTGCCAGTGATGACTGCAACGAAGTTGGGACATTTGCATTCAGACGCTCCTTATCGTTCCTTATCATTTGTTATCAGTTCATACCGTTCACCATCGGTGTTCCCGTCCCACACCCATGCAATGTGTAGGAGTTAGTGTTTTACTGTCGCCACGAAGGCTACCAACGAAATTAGTGGTACTCAAAAGAGCTGAAAAAAGCTGCTCGAGTGCTCGACTTTTCACAAGAGAAAGCACTCAATAATAAAGCAAAAATTCTCAAGAGCGATTTTTTGAGCTCTCTTTTGATTTCAAACGATTTACATAGAAACCTGCTAACTTGTGGTATCCGATTCCTGTATGGTACACACTGGAGACAAGCACAAAAAACCTCAGAAAAACCCTGGTCTCCTCAAGAAGGTAAAACAGAAACCCTGGAAACATTTTGACACGTCTTAGTTGCGTGCCACAGCACACGCGCCACCCTCTTTATCTGAAGGCTCGAGTAAGCGCAGTTAGCAAGCAACTATGCGTTTTTGACAACAAAATGTCTTTTTCATCATAATTTTGGCAAATCCTGTATTCTTCAGGACAAGCAATCCATCTATGAGTGTGTTCAAAGGCAAGTCCAGGACTGGTCACGACTAGAAGACTAAATACTCGGACAAGTTCTATTTATTGTTATGATGTTGAAGATTGATGTGTAGAAGGTCGAAATACTGTAGTAGGTTCTGTTTTTGTTGTTGTGTCATTAACACTTACGGTTTGCATTGTGATAATTACTTTATACATTAATGAAAATTTATATTAAACGCATTTATCGATAGGCAAGCGATGGAAAAATTACGATTACATTGTGACGCACGACTGGAGCATTGTCTCTTTCTCAAGGAAAATTATCGGCGGAATAGTCGCGAACGCATCATCTGAAATGAAAATCTAGATACTGACTAGGGGGCAGCGAAAGATTTTCCTGGAATCTTACCAAGACAACCATGTGTTCCGGTACGTTACCGATGTATTGAGCGAAGTTTGTCACGTATTTCACGTTTTCTGCTTGCTTTTGTGAGTCGACCTTGGCATTTTACCTCGCTCGGCGTTGGCTGCAATATAGGTACAATTGGAATCGTTGTTTCTAGAAATGTCGTTAGGTAGAGGTATCCTTCTTGATTTTTCAGACATTGAGGGGTAGATTTTGGTACGTTCTGTGTGAAAAAAGATCGAGAGATTCATCAAAAAAGATCAAATTGAGCTTTTCGCTCTCTGAGGGGAGGTGAGAAAAACTTCCACTGTCATTCTACGCTTTTTTAAAGCCGTGGGGACTTTTCCGATTAGGTTCTCAGAAGCATCTGAATATATGACTGATATGTGTAGGCCATTGAGGGACTAACTGGTCTACCCATTATCCAAGCCAGCACTTAGACCGGGTATGGAATAGGTATTAGAGTAGGTATTCCTGCTCGCATTCCTCGCGAAATTTCTCGAGACTGATCCCGTGACCATGTGCTTGAGGCAGCATGGCCAATTGCCGCTCCTACTCAAATGGTCAGCGGACCACATGAAGTCGGTTCCTTTAGACCGCTCAATTTGAGGCTCTCGTCTGCGCTCTCTCGCCTTAACAGCGGCTCATGACCACTGTGATCTCACACATTCAAACTTTTGCCACACTGTAATTGGCTCACCCACCTCGAGTCCCTCCCCCTTTAAGGCTTAGTCCTAGGGCTCTCACTTTTTCCTTGGGTTTGGAGCCTAGCCGGGCGCCGTTTCTCTCTCGTCTCTAGCCATTCGTGGCAGGACTATGGAAGACGAGGTTCAAGTAACCCGAACAAAGGAAATTAGACCAGTAGAGATTTCTTGTGATAGGGCTGTGAACGGTGCTTGCTTTGAGACCGATAGTAAAATGATCACGATTGAGCAGATCTCCAACGAAATGAATTCGAAGTAACTCTCGTTCAAAACTCCAGCGATGCTAGTGAAGCGAGGAATCGTCCTTGGAAGTTCCCAGTTCGATGATAGATTGTACTAGGATACCTCACATTCTCTGTTATTTTCTTCTATCGTTGAATGAACCGTTTGAAATGGGCTGCGCTCTGGACAGCTCCACTCCGATGCGATCATGCGTCTTTACCATAATGATCTTTGGCTCAAAGTTACACACTGTATCTCACATGTTTGGACTGTATGCCAAAGTGTAATGGGAGGGCATTGTGATGATTGGACAACGCCCTTCTGGAACAGATAGAATGATTCCAGTACTGGGAAAAGATCATTGGCAAGTACT